GCCTATCAAGAAATCTGAAGACTCGACCGAGGCATCCACTATCAAGACACCGATAACTACTAGCACAACAAATTGTAACTCCATGAGTTCCAATGTCAACGAAACTATCCTTCAATCGATCATTCCTGTAAACGTCAGACAGAAGGGAAGTGAGAGGGTAGTTACAACGTATGCATTCTTGGACAATGGTAGTACTGGCTGCGTCATAACGGACAGTCTCAGGGAACAATTGGATGCTAACCATTTGTCTACTGTCTTAAAGTTACAGACTATGAATGTCGGATGCAACTGTCCAGAAGCTCTACACCCGCTAGGGATAATCTCTTCAGATGATGGAGGACCATTTGCAGTTTGTTACAAGCTTGGCTGGACAGTGAACGGACCACTGCAACTAACCCGTAATCTCCAGAACAATACAGTAGTCTGCAACAGAATAGTTCTTCAGGAAACGGTAAAAGTCAATGAGTGTATTACACCTGAGAATGTACTGAAACTGTTTGAGCTGGATTTCAATGAGCATGATATAGGTCAGGATCCTGTTCAGGATGAAGAGACTGCTGTCACACTGATCTCACAGTTGCGATCGGCATGCGCTGAAGGGGGATTCAATCTCACAAAGTTTACCAGTAACAGTAAGCATGTCTTGTCTTCCTTCCTCCAGAGCATTGTTCTAAAGACATCCAAGCCATAGATCTTAGCTGTGACGACATCCCTATGAAACGGGCTCTCGGTATGCAATGGCACATTCAATCTGACTCATTCAAGTTCTCAGTTGACTTGCCAGAAAAGCCTGCTACACGACGAGGATTTTGTCTACAATGTCCTCCTTTATGACCCTCTTGGCCTTGCATCTCCAGTTCCAGCCATGAAAATATTGCAAGACCTGTGCAAGGACAAGATCTCTTGACTGTGATGATCATGTAGGAAAGAGCCGTTGTGATAGATGGAATATGTGGCTGTGAGAACTTGAGTTGCTTAAAGATCTTGAGGTAAGACGCTGTTTGAAACCACCCGCTTTTGGTAATGTTGTCTCTTGCCAGCTGCATATATTTTCGGATGCAAATGTTACAGGGTATGGATGTGCAGCCTACATTCGACTCTGTAATGAAGAGGACATTCACACTGCCCTGGTGATGGGTAAATCACAACTTGCACCTCTCAAGGTCATCACTATTCCACGACTGGAGCTGACAGCAGCAGCCACTGCAGTGAAGATTGGGACATTTCTTCATTGATAGTACAACATACTACACTCCACAACAGTACTTCACTACATCACCAACGAACGAAACAGGTACCCTGTGTGTGTGACTAATAGAGTAAAGCTTATAAGAGATTACACTGATCTTCAGCAGTGGAAGTGTGGACTCCCAAAGTAATCCTGCTGATATTGCATCACGAGGAACTACATGTGCCAAGGTTTTGGAATCTTTTCTATGGTTTGATGGTCCACCATTTCTTAGATGCTTTGAAAAAGGATTGGCCTGAGCAATCATGTATTGCAAGTAATGAAACCTCAGAAGCTGTTGCTATGACTTTGACGAAATCAGTTGTTGCCGGAACATTGGCATCAAGTGAAGTTGCTCCAACACTACTCATCATGGCAGTAGTGGCAAGACACAGAACGTAAAGGTCAGTAACCTAACGTCTTTATCGCTAACTGTCCAAGAGTTGCCTCGTGCTAGAGAAACTATCCTTAGGTCTGTTCAGCATCAAGAGTACCAGTCTGAGATGAACTTATTGCTGAAAGCAGCAGATGAACGAGGCCGAGTACAGAATGTAAGCAGAAGCAGCCCACTATACAAGTTGAACCCAGTTATAAGAGACGACTTTCTCTGTATTGGCGGACGCCTCAGTAGAGCCGATATTTCTGAAGACATGAAACATGCTATCATTCTGCCCCAAAAGAACCATGTTTCCACGTTAATCATTAGGGACACTCATGACAGGCTTGGGCATGTTGGGAGAAATCATGTTCTATCAGCCTTGAGGGCCAAGTATTGGATCACAAGGGCAAATTCTGCTATAAGAAGTGTGATGAACAAATGTGTGTTTTGCAGAAGATTGAAGACCCCAACAAGTTCACATATGATGTCTGACCTTCCAGCATGTAGAGTGACTCCAGCTGGTCTATTCACCTACACAGGAATTGACTTTTTTGGATAGTAGGGAAGGAAGTGTGTTAAACGCTATGGCGTGCTCTTCACGTGTCTCAGTAGCCGAGCTGTCCATATTGATACTCACTCGATACAAGTTCCTTTATTAACTCTCTTCATCGCTTTATTGCCAGGAGGGGACCAGTTCAGGAAATCTTCTGTGATAATGGGACAAAACTTTGATGGTGGAGCTAGAGAGCTCAAGGAGTCTTTGGATCAGCTCGATCAAGAAAAAATTCATTCTGATATGCTTCACAAGTAGATCAATTTCAGCTTTAAAATTCCATCAGCAAGCCACATGGGTGGCGTTTTGGAGAGACTGATCAGATCTGTCCGCAGCATGCTCAGTCCCTTGCTTCATGAGTTTGGATCATGCCTTGACGATGAGCTGTACAGTCATTATTATGTGAAACTGAGGCTATCCTGAACTCTAGGCCTCTTACTACAGTTTCTGGGGATCCAGACGACCTTCACCCCCTTACTCCAAATCACCTCCTTATGATGAAGCCTGATGTTTTTATCCCACCGCCTGGCACGTTTCAGTAGAATCATGTGTACGCCCGCCAGCGTTGGAAACGTATTCAGTATCTGACCAACGTCTTCTGGTCCAGATGGAAGAAAGAGTACCTTCAGTCTCTGCAGCAACGACAAAAATGGAATTGTCCTAAGAGGAACTTTCAACTGGACGATGTTGTGCTTATCAAGGATGACACTTTACCCAGGAGTTTATGTTCCATGGGTCGTGTAATCCAGACTGAGGTGGATACGCATGGCACTGTCAGAAGTGTTTTGTTGAAAGCAAGAGGTGCAGAGTTACGACGACCTATTCACAAGCTGGTTCTGCTCCTCCCATCGGGCTCAGCACAGGTTGGAATGTGAGGCATTTATTGAACATTGCATTATACATGTATATGTCTGAGTCTGAGTATGGTGTTACGCCGTTTTTAGCAATATTCCAGCAATATCACGGCAGGGGACACCAGAAATGGGCTTCACAAGTTGTGCCCATGTGGGGAATCGAACCCTGGCCTTCGGCGTGACGAGCGAACGCTTTAACCACTAGGCTACCCCACCGCCCCGCATTATATATGTATTTGTTAAACTATATTGGTATGTTTAAGAGGCCGAGTGTGTTAATGGGAGATTCATATATTTCATTTATTCTGTGTACACTTTCCTCATGCAGATATCATCACATAACTTCCATATGCATCACAAATGTTTTCCTAATCTGTACTGTCTCCGTAGCACAGTGCAGCTGTAACTTCATCATACCAGTATCAGTTATTACCTCCCTTGGTAGTAATCCAGCCATCTAGGGTTCAAAGCACATGTGGTACTGGGACCCCATGCTTCAGTGTGTTAGCAGCCTCCATTCTGTCAAGAGGTCTCCTCTGACTTAAATTTCAACGTAGCACACAGGAACACAATTTTTTCCAAACCTCATCCGCTTATCCACTCGTCTACTTATCCTTTCATACAATGGCTAACGATCAACGTCGAACGTATACTCTACATCAACGCCTTACGTATCATTGTTTCCCATCAAAAGAATAAAACCCTGTGGATGCGAGTTACTGGAAATTTGTTTCATTTGTAAATGAAAACGTACATGTATGTTTGTCACCAGCAAGATGAGAATAAATAGAGGATATTATATGAGTGCCCATGGCATACTATGTTTACGACACGAGTGCCTAAATGTCAGTATTTCCCGAGCGAGAGCGAGGGATACACCGATATTTAGGCACGAGTGTCATAAACATAGTATGATATGAGCACGAATATGATATTCTGTTTATTACCGAAGTCGTCAAATTGGGGAAAATAAACTCAAATCTACTTTCAAACATAGGCTGGCTACCCGCCATAGCCGCATGTAGAACGCAACGTCACAGAGGAAACCTGACGTCATAGCATTGTTCATGACGTCATGTCACCATGACAAAGTGATATTTTGACCCAGGGCATCGTATGAAAAATATGATCCCACACTCCGGCACAGCGATGACTAACATAACATCACTGCCACAGGCTAATTTGCATATCACGTGACCGGACTTTTCTCTTGTTTGAAATCAAACGCGCATATTCATAATAAGAAGAGACTGGACTCACGAAAGCTCTCTTCATAATGTTTTACATTGTTACATATATATTCTTCCACAACTGCGACAGTAAAGTCTATGACAGTACATATTTAGATATCAAACTGGCTGCATCGTTTGCTCTCCATCAGCTTCGATGACAGCACGTGGAGCCGTACAACCTATGTAAACAAAGGATCGCGACGCAAATCGAAATAGTGTTACATGTTTTAGGATATTTTCTCAATGAAACTAAACCATTCCATCAAAGATGTTTAATTAGTTGTGTAGACTCGTCAAAAATAAAAGAGTTGAGAAATATGTAAATTATATTGAATGGACGGTGCAAGATGTGACGAATCGTCACATTTTTCTGGCCTGTGGCAGAGATACTATGCTGGCTTGCCGCATGGAACTCTGGGTAGGAGAGTAATATGATCCCCGATATGTTCGCCCTCGTAGGTAATAAATATATATATAAATATAGACAATACCCAGTCTGGATAACATGTCGAAACAGATGCCACTGCTTCTCTGCTCGCCTAATAGGTCTTGGTATTTGAAACACAAACTCATAACAGAATAAAAATGTATTATCACAAATATATCTTACATATCTCACATATTATCAATCCACATTTATCACATAATAATATTATCACAATAACTATTTCATCGATTTACCGTGGATGTAAATATAAGGGACAAACCCTTGGATAATAATTGAAGCAGACTGTACGATAACGATTACATCAATAGCAGAAATGTTTATCAAATAGTGATGACACAAGTCCATGGCACGCGTATTCCACATGATTACAATAGGAAACAGATGAGGCTTTCTTAAAGTTTAGGGGAGGTGGGGAAGCTTCGTGGTGGAAGCGTTCACTCGTCACGCTGAAGACCCGGGAAGCCCCTTTCTTGTGTCCCCCGCCGTGAGGTTGCTGGAATATTGCTAAAAGCGGCGTTAAACTAAATTCACTCACTCACTCAAATTCTAGCTCAGTTACGTAATCAATGGAAGGGGAACTGGCTAAACATCCAAACGAAAACAGCACAAAAATTGATGGCATATCTAGTGTGTTCCATATTAAACCAATTATGGAAATGACCAATGATGAGCGAGTGAGTGAGGTTTTACCCCGCTTTTAGCAAAATTCCACCATATCACGGCTGGGTACACCAGAAATAGAACCCGAGTACGGCGTGACGAACGAATGCTTTAACCACTGGGCTACCTCACCGCCTCACTGATGAACGTGACTTGTCACGTTTTTATTTGACACAGGAGGTCTCAATTCCCTTAAGTAAGTGAAGCTAAACGTTAAAATCGCATTTGCAAATGCTACATTGCATATATACAATCTTTGATAAATGTAATCAAACATATAACATGTAAACATATAAACAAAATATAGTAGATCAATTTGCACCGGAGCATAAACATATTTATACAGATTTGGAAACACTGACATGGATGGCCTATGTGAGAGTTAACCTGCAGAAGGCCGTGGGACATTCATGTGCGATGTTGTAATAGGAAGAGCACCACAAGGCAAAGTCTGGTCTTGACAAGGGTACGCATCTTCTTTCCCGTGGAGGTGCTGGTCGAACACCAGCGTCCTGTCCTTCCTGACATGAGCAATAGCATATATGGTTTGGGCAGTAACCCAGCAAGCAATTGTCTTGACACCATGTGTCATTTATATAGCTGTATTTGGAGTAGCACTGATAATGTGGAGACGACGAATCGCACACTGGTGTTGTTGTTTCTGCAATCGTAGTTGAGGAGGTTTCTTCTGATGACATTGTAGTTGTAGTGGATTGTTCAGATGTTGCAGTGGTAGTTTCTTCTGATGTTGCAGTGGTGGATTCTGCTGATGTTGTTGCAGTGGTGGATTCTTCTGATGTTGTTGCTGTGGTGGATTCTTCTGATGTTGTTGCAGTGGTGGATTCTTCAGATGATGCAGTGGTGGATTCTTCTGATGTTGTTCCAGTGGTGGATTCTTCAGATGTTGTTGCAGTTGTGGATTCTTCAGATGTTGTTGCAGTTGTGGATTCTTCAGATGTTGTAGTGGTGGATTCTTCAGATGTTGTTCCAGTGGTGGATTCTTCAGATGTTGTTGCAGTTGTGGATTCTTCAGATGGTGTTGCAGTTGTGGATTCTTCTGATGTTGTTGCACTGGTGGATTCTTCTGATGTTGTTGCAGTTGTGGATTCTTCTGATGACGTCGTAGTAGTGGTGGATTCTTCAGATGTTGTTTCAGTCGTGGATTCTTCTGTTGATGACGTCGTAGTAGTGGTGGATTCTTCAGATGCTGTTGCAGTGGTGGATTCTTCTGATGTTGTTGCAGTTGTGGATTCTTCTGATGATGTTGCACTGGTGGATTCTTCTGATGATGTTGCAGTTGTGGATTCTTCTGATGATGTTGCACTGGTGAATTCTTCAGATGTTGTTGCAGTTGTGGATTCTTCAGATGTTGTTGCAGTTGACGTGTCTTCAGATGTTGTTGCAGTTGTAGATTGTTCTGATGTTGCTGCAGTGGTGGCTTCTTCTGATGATGTTGCAGTTGTGGATTCTTCTGATGTTTCAGTGGTGGATTCTTCTGATGATGTTGTACTGGTGGCTTCTTCTGATGATGTTGCAGTTGTGGATTCTTCTAATGTTGTTGCACTGGTGGCTTCTTCTGATGATGTTGCAGTTGTGGATTCTTCTGATGATGACGTCGTAGTAGTGGTCGATTCTTCAGATGTTGTTCCAGTGGTGGATTTTTCAGATGTTGTTCCAGTTGGGGTTTCTTCTGATGACGTTTCAGTGGTGGATTCTTCTGATGATGATGTCGTAGTAGTGGTGGTGGATTCTTCAGATGTTGTTGCACTGGTGGCTTCTGCAGATGTTGTTTCAGTGGTGGATTCTTCTGATGATGACGTCGAAGTAGTGGTGGTGGATTCTTCAGATGTTGTTGCACTGGTGGATTCTTCAGATGTTGTTCCAGTGGTGGATTCTTCAGATGTTGTTTCAGTGGTGGATTCCTCTGATGATGACGTCGTAGTACTGGTGGATTCTTCAGATGTTGCAGTGGTCGATTCTTTTACTGTTGTTGCAGTGGTGGATTCTTCTGGGGTTGTCGCAGTGGTGGATTCTTCAGATGTTGTTGCACTGGTGGATTCTTCTGATGTTGTTGCAGTGGTAGATTCTTCAGATGTTGTTGCAGTGGTGGATTCTTCAGATGTTGTTGCAGTGGTGGATTCTTCAGCTGTTGTTGCAGTGCTGGATTCTTCAGATGTTGTTGCAGTGGTAGATTTTTCAGATGTTGTTGCAGTTGTGGATTGTTCTGATGTTGTTGCAGTGGTAGATTCTTCAGATGTTGTTGCAGTTGTGGATTCTTCTGATGTTGCTGCAGTGGTTGATTCTTCTGATGGCGTCGTAGTGGTGGTGGATTCTTCAGATGTTATTGCAGTGGTGGATTCTTCTGATGGTGTCGTAGTAATGGTGGATTCTTCTGATGTTGTTGCACTGGTGGATTCTTCTGATGATGACGTCGTAGTAGTGGTGGATTCTTCAGATGTTGCAGTGGTCGATTCTTTTACTGTTGTTGCAGTGGTGGATTCTTCCGATGTTGTTGCAGTGGTGGATTCTTCCGATGTTGTTGCACTGGTGGATTCTTCTGATGTTGTTGCAGTGGTAGATTCTTCAGATGTTGTTGCAGTGGTGGATTCTTCAGATGTTGTTGCAGTGGTGGATTCTTCAGATGTTGTTGCAGTGCTGGATTCTTCAGATGTTGTTGCAGTGGTAGATTCTTCAGATGTTGTTGCAGTTGTGGATTCTTCTGATGTTGTTGCAGTGGTAGATTCTTCAGATGTTGTTGCAGTTGTGGATTCTTCTGATGTTGTTGCAGTGGTTGATTCTTCTGATGGCGTCGTAGTGGTGGTGGATTCTTCAGATGTTATTGCAGTGGTGGATTCTTCTGATGGTGTCGTAGTAATGGTGGATTCTTCTGATGTTGTTGCACTGGTGGATTCTTCTGATGATGACGTCGTAGTAGTGGTGGATTCTTCAGATGTTGCAGTGGTCGATTCTTTTACTGTTGTTGCAGTGGTGGATTCTTCCGATGTTGTTGCAGTGGTGGATTCTTCCGATGTTGTTGCACTGGTGGATTCTTCTGATGTTGTTGCAGTGGTAGATTCTTCAGATGTTGTTGCAGTCGTGGATTCTTCAGATGTTGTTGCAGTCGTGGATTCTTCTGATGTTGTTGCAGTGGTAGATTCTTCAGATGTTGTTGCAGTTGTGGATTCTTCTGATGGCGTCGTAGTGGTGGTGGATTCTTCAGATGTTGTTGCAGTGGTGGATTCTTCTGATGGTGTCGTAGTAATGGTGGATTCTTCAGATGTTGTTGCACTGGTGGATTCTTCTGATGGCGTCGTAGTAGTGGTGGATTCTTCAGATGTTGTTGCAGTGGTGGATTCTTCTGATGGCGTCGTAGTAGTGGTGGATTCTTCTGATGTTGTTGCAGTGGTGGATTCTTCTGATGTTGTTGCTGTGATAGATTCTTCAGATGTTGCAGTTGTGGTTTCTTCTGATGGCGTCATAACACTGGTGGATTCTTCAGATGTTGTTGCACTGGTAGTTTCTTCAGATGTTGTTGCACTGGTGGATTCTTCAGATGTTGTTGCAGTTGAGGTGTCTTCAGATATTGCTGCAGTTGTAGATTGTTCTGATGTTGCTGCAGTGGTGGATTCTTCAGTTGTTGTTGCAGTGGTGGATTCTTCAGATGTTGTTGCATTGGTGGATTCTTCTGATGATGTTGTAGTGGTGGATTCTTCAGATGTTGTTTCAGTGGTGGATTCTTCTGTGGTGATTGAGGCTTCTGTCGTAGTCGAAAGAGCGATAGAGGATTCCGTCGTTGTCGAGACAGTCACTGACACTTCTGTGGTTTTAGCGGGAGATATTGAGGAGGCTATCATTGTTGAGACAGAGATTGTGCCTTCTGACATTGTCGAAGAAGGGATTGAATCTTCTGTTGTTGTCGAATGAGATATTGAGGCGTCCGTTGTTGTTGTCAACTCCGAGATTGAGTCTTCTGTCGTTGTCGAGGCAGAGATTGAGGCGTCCGTCGTTGTCGAGGCAGTGATTAAGGCGTCCGTCGTTGTCGAGGGAACGATTGAGTCTTCTGTCATTGTTGAGGGAGAGATTGTTTTTGTCGAGGCAGTGTTTGGAGCGTCCGTCGTTGTCGAGACAGACATTGTGCCTTCTGTCATTGTCGAAGCAGAGATTGGGTCTTCAGTCAATGTTGAGGCAGAGATTGTGTCTTCTGCTGTTGTCGAATGAGATATTGAGGCATCTGTCGTTGAGATTGAGGTTGAGGGTTCTGTTGTTGTCGAGGCAGAGCTTGAGGCTTCTGTTGTTGTTGAGGGAGAGATTGAGGCGTCCGTCATTGTTGTCGACCCAGAGATTGTGTTTCCTGTTGTTGTCGAGGCAGTGTTTGAGGCGTCTGTCGTCGAAGCAGGCATTGAGACTTTTGTCATTGTTGATGCAGTGATTGTGTCTTCTGTTGTTGTCAAGGCAGTGTTTGAGGCGTCCGACGTTGTCGAGGCAGAGATTGAGGCTTCTGTCGTTTTTGTGGGAGAGATTGAGATAGACGAGGCCTCTATGGTTACACTACTGGGAAGCGTTGCAACAGTGGACATACTACTGGTGAGCCCTGTCGAGAAGGATGGAGTATGTCCCGACACACTACTGCTCACCGCTATGCTGGTCGTAAACAGGGGAGGGAGGGACAGAAGCATTGTGGTGACTCCGCCATCTGAACTACCACCTAGAACCACTGACGATGGAAGAATGTCATCACTTGTCATTAAGGTTGAAGATGTTTCTAAGCCCTGTGACGATGACACTGTGGATGCATCTATTATCGTGGAGGTTGCATCGCTCAAGCTTGTCATCGCTATGCTCTGATCTCCTATTGATGCGGATGTAATCATGATAGGGGAGGATGAGCTGGATGTTGCCACACTGAAGTCTGATGGTGATGATGAAGCTACTGACGTCTCAGAGATAGAGGATACTGGATCGGTTACACTGGTGTATGCAGATGTCACTGTGATAAGAGAGGCATCTTGAGACACGCTTGAGATTGATGGCTCAACACTAGAGGCCGTCGACTGTGGTGGTGAAATGGTTGTACTCAAAGTGTTCTGAATGCGGATGTCTGCACAGTTGTAAAACTGTTCCTGGGGACCACAACCTCGGAATGGACAAGTATCTCCGCCGTAACGATAACCTGAAGTAATGAACAGGATAACGTTATGAGTGAGTATGGTTTTACGCCGCTTTTAGCACTATTCCAGCAATGTCACGACGTGGTTCACCAGAAATGGGCCTCACACACTGTACCCATGTGGGGAATCGAACCCGGGTCATCGGCGTGACGAGCGGACGCCTATAACGTTGTGTAGAGATACAGCTGCAGTACATATATACAGTTAAGTGAGTGAGTGAGTGAGTGAGTCGGGTTTTAAGCCAATTTCACATATATATATTGGGCCCCTATGGGGAATCGAACCCGGACCACTAGGCTTCCCCTTGTATACAGCTGCAACAATTACTCTGAGTAAAATTCAGATGAATTTCTCTACCCAAACCCGAATCCATTGCACAATTCCAACAAAATCATAAAGATCATAGCATGTAGTTAAGAACAGAGACTTTTTTGTCTTGTTCGTTGTTTAACGCCGCGATC